CACTTGCACTGTATTCCAATTCCGGTGTATTGTTGCCCTCCGATCCAATCCTAGTGGATTCATGACTCCTGGACCTCTCTCCTGGACTCTCGTCTCCACGGCGAACCTTTAAACAAATTAGCCAAATAAAATTAAACTTGTCTTGTAAGGGACGCTAACACCGGCGCGAACGCGGACGCGATGTTCTACCGAGCGCAAGACAATTGCTAACGAGGCAAAGACGAAAGCGAAGTGGCTTATATCCTTTTGTTCAAACCCAAATGGACGATCGTGATTGGTCGATGGACTCCTCTTAGCAACATCCTCGCCCCCTGTGTCCAACCGTTTTAACGGCTAACCGAAAATTCTAGATTGAATTTTTATGAAAACATTATCCTTCGATCCCATCACGATTTTCCACTAATTTCCCCGATAATTCGTCACTTTTAAAGCAAAAACCGCACTGAATTCATAGTTAGCGACCCGAATCGCGATCAAATACAAATTCGCGAAAAATGGGACTGCCGTTTGCCGTTTTACAAAAATGGCCTCTCCTTCTTTTATGTTCTACGCGACCCCCCTCGGCAAAGTAAAAGCCAGGAGAGGTACATGAATTTTTATGTAGTATCTATGTACTATGAACGATATAAATGATAGAATTTCTAGAACCGAAAAGATATTTGCCAAATGCGAAATGCAAGTCGCGATCCATAAAACGAAATCGATAGAAAGGACGCCACAACTGCCGCCATTAAAACGTTCCGATCTATCAACGATGTTACTATGAAATATCTTACCTGAAAGTTGATAACTTGATGCTTTTCACTAAATCATGCTTACGGCGATGCATGTATAAGTAAACTCGTCGAATAAAATCTAAATTGTCTTGCATGGAACGCTAAAACCGGCGCGAACGCGGACGCGATGTTCCACCGAGCGCAAGACAATTCCTAATGACGCGAAGACGAAGGCGAAGTAGTTCTCAACCGAAATCTTTTTGTCCAAAGCTACATCTATCAACAATAATGATTGGCCGATACTCATCATGTTTCACTTATCGACACACATGATTGGTTGAAATTAGGCACTCACGGTGGCTGCAGGCTAGGTGTCGCGTTTTCAAATGCAAGCATAATGCATGCTATGCATGTATGAAGTCCACAAATCTTTATGCAGCAAATTGTAGAGCAATGTTTAAAATAATTAATAAATGAGATTTCGAATTCCTTTACTTTTTAAACAACACCGCAACCGTACAAATTTATCAATACCATATTAATCGATACAAATTTCGATCGAATTCGAAAAAATCGATACATATTATCAATACAAACGAAACAATCAGGAATTATGTTACTTAATTATCTTGTCCATAAATCATAATATGCGATGACTTGAGAAACACCGAAAGATGATTCAGTTTCGATTCTTTCCTTTGCATCCCGACGAGATTTTATCGATTTTCGGATCATATTTCGTTACCTCGTCTTATCGCTTCGAGACGCGCGCGCCGAGCTATACACAGAAGTAATAGTCCATAAC